AATAATGAAACTGGATGCGATTTGAGCGATTTGAATTTAAAAGCATTACGTGAGTATATCATTTTATTGTTGCAGCATGTTTCGATCGTTATTTATTCAATTTATTTTCAATTTGATTCACATTTGCAGGTGAGAAGTGTAGTAACGGAATCATCGAAAATAGTGAATTTACGTGGTCGCGATCATGCATTAAAATGCCGAATTTCGCATTTTCTTTTTGGGATTGGTTTTTCGCTGCCACTAGATTGATCAAAAAATGTCTCAGTGAACCATGGAAGGATGGACTTATATTTGGTTTCTCAAGTGACCGATTAAGCGCTCAACAACTTCGCAAACGACCAGTTGCTGGTACTTTTTTGCTGCGATTTTCTGACAGTACACTTGGTAAGGCCTTAATCACTCATCACGACCTAAAGAAGCATTTTGTTACGGAGTTCCTTTCATTGTATTTTTTTTCTAGGCGCATTGACACCTGTTTACTTAGCATACGATAACAATTCAAAATTAGTGATAAAGAAGTTTATGCCATTTGCAATTAAAGAATTTGAAATTTCAAATGACCCGATGTATTATGGAATTGGCAACCTTATCTCTGATTTAAACGAATGCACCCATCTTGCTAATGGTGTATCGAAGACTGAGGCATTCAAAAAACACTACAAAGATGTAGACAAATTAAATGGGAGTTACCAAAAACGAGTGAATACTAACTCGCCATCGACATCAAAATTTTAAAAATACAACCAGACTTTTCACCGTCACCGGCACAGAGGTAACAATATTATAAAATTTAAAAAGATCTTTCAAACAATCCTGTTTACATTGCAGCGTTGAATCTGAAATAAATCATTCAATTGCTTCACCTGACGTCAGCTCAGCTCCACCCAACACAGTACCAATCGACAACACTTCCGCCATTTGTTTTTTTTTTCTGAACTTCCCACCAACCTCATATCACTCGTCCAGTTATAACCTGTCACCAATACACATGCGACCATTTTAAATCGAGATGGTAGTAGCAACGACGAAGACGATTTAAATGTTTTGATGTTAAATGGACCCTCTAATAATATGTTCAATATGTCAAAACTTGGAATAATTCAAAAATTCCCATTAGACATTTAGTGCATTTTTTGTATTCAGTTTTTTCGAACAAGAAAAAACTACCTAAAACGGTCATTTTTGCAAAAATAAAATGTGCGAATAAAGTTGAAAAAATGTAGACAAAAAGTAGTATTTTTTTCAAAAACAAAACTAAAACCGATTTTTTTCCAAATAATTCAAGTCTTTTATTGTTAAGAAGCCACCAAAAATTACCCGATACGCTATTGAGAATTAACTCGCTTAATTGATTCTTGAATGAAAAAGAATATACCCGGAATGTGCAAAGCATGACAAAAACAGTGAGCGAGTGAGCATCCATTGCACAAAAATGTGAAGCATTTGCTCACATTGAATTCACAAATGAAGGAATAAAAAGAATATATTGTATCTAAATTAGACAATAGAATTATTACTACAATGGAAAATAACAATACAATACTCGACATTATACATATCCACAGCACTGCTGTGATAACATTATATTCTTTAATATACGCAATCAGACCATTATTTACTTCTAAATTTACTTTCCTCGAATCTTGATTCTATTAAAAAAAAAAATCACGAAGTTATTTCATTCCTGTTTCAAAAAGTGTATTTGTTACTACTACTTAAACAAAATTAATTCGATGTTAGCTGATTTTTCTATTGATTTGCCATTTGACTCAAGAAAAAATTGCAAAAACACACTGAAATTGTTTTTTTTTTTTAATTTGCAAAATTTCGGATCGCTTCACTTCACCAATACACATTTTTCAATAATTCTCTCATGCAATTATTCTCTTATTAGTCATAACAATCGTTATTTCAATTTTCTCCACATAAATTGTTTCTTTTTCAAGAGATGGCAGCATAAAACGAGCCGTTTCAACTTCATAAAAATTATCGGCCATTATATATGTCTTTTTGTTGTTCTTAGTTTCTGAGATATAAAAAAGCGAATGCATATTGACTGCGACTGTCAGAGAGTGTTGTTCAGTTGCTCAACAGACTTTGTCCAAGCAAGTCATATAAAATGTTTCTCGTGTTTTATACAAATAAATAGCCACTTTGTTCGAACACTCTTTTGTATACTTGTTGAAACTTACCAATTGAACAAGAAAAATCCGTTAACAGTAATTCAAATCATGTCGAATTTGGTGAATCAAGTTTAGCTGACAGTGATTTATAAACATCGCTACTACTTCATACGAGAGTGAAAGGGAGCGATACAGAAAGAGAAATCTCTTTATCTTATAATACTCTTATCTCTTTCCCTCTCACATACAGATGTGATATTTTTTTGGCAGCAGCATCACCATTTTATCAACCTTTTCGTTCTAACAGACTAACATAATCAACAAATGCTAGTCAAGACCAACAAAAAATGTGTTTTTTGCTCGAATATATGTTTATCAGGATTACATGCTTTCGAAGAAATTTGAGAGTAGTGTAGTGTATACGAAAAGACACGGATTCTATTTGAAAACTGTGCTTATATCAACTTATTTTTGAGGTCAATACATTTCTTTGAATTTAAAAAAACCCAACAGTGAGTGAAGTGGATTCGGAATAAAATCAAACAACATTTTCAAATCAAAAATTTGAACACCGAAAAACAGTATAATCGTTCAATTTAAGTTCCAAAATGGAAAACCATAATTTTTGGAATGAATCGTACAAAAAAGTACCGCTCTATCGCCTGAAATCTTTTTATAGGGATGACGTGGTGTTTGTATTGCGTCATCTTCAGCATCACTGGATCATTCAAAACATACGCGTTCGCGGTAATTTTGAGGGAAATCACCATTTCATGAGATGTTTAGTGGAACAATTGAATCAATGTGCGGTTGCACCCAT